GTATTTGAGCCCGCGTACCACGAGTCATGAGGTGTACGGACTAGTTACATGACACCCTACAATTCCCCCCCCCCACTCTTTCCGTTTTTCCAGAATATAAAAGTGGGAAAGTTTTTGAGGATCATAAATATAAGAATGCATTCAAAGATGGGGATTTACGTATAAGTTCTGCACAGAATGAACTGATTTCATCACTGCAGTGTGTTAGTGAAATGCTAGCAGATTTATTTCGTGCTCTGATGATTGATTCCCGATGAGGTCTTTATTGACCTAATTCTTCCAGCCGCATTATGGCCCTGGGATCACCTCAGCATCTAACAGAATAGAGTAACATGAATCTTTCTGGGGGTAAAGGGTGGCCAGCACATAAGGCTGATAGCCATACTGCCAACTGAGCCATGACATCTTAAAGCCCAATGGGCCTTCATGGCCTCTTACAGGGATAGCTTTAATTTTTTTTTCCTCTAATGAATGCCGGTTTTGTTTAGGATTTGAGGTTCTCACAGTTGTGGCTGTGAAGAATTCTATCTTCTGGGTTACAATGCCATGTAGTCCATTGAAAGTCAAATGAAGTTTCAGAGGAAGCATTCCACCTGTGCTCATGCTGGTATCTTGCTCGGCTTATTCTTTGACCCTGAAGATGGACACGATGTGTTGCTCTGAAACATCAGTTGACTTTCAACGTATTACATGGTGTTAAATCCCAGAAGATTATCTGTAGTGTTACCAGTCAGTCATAGCTCACCAACATGACTGGTATTCAGTATTCATTACTTGTCTTGTCAGTATGTTCTTTGGCATACAAAATTAACAGTAATTAATAAAATCTCCTTGGGCTATCAATTATATCAATTGATTAAAAATTGATGGTCTCTGAAATGTTGGTAATTTTTAACCATCTGACATGGTTGATAGCCCAAAAGATTTTATCATCTTTAGCCACCATGGAAGCTTCAGATCTTACATTAACAGTAATGCTGAAGTGGTCAGTAGTGCACCCCTGTATCCATAGCACCATGCTTTGGCTCAACAGCTCAAAGAAATGTGCCACTTGTTAGCACTACAATTCCAAATCAGCAGTAATGATCAGATTACACTGTTGTGACAAGTGCACCAGAATTAAAATGGATATGCAGTGCAGTGTTATCATAAATTCAATTCTTGACAAAGCTAGTCAACAAAAAATGTACGGCATGAAGTATAATATTTGTGTCCCTCCTATTTCTTAAATACATACCACATCAAGTTATGTTGTAAATCAAACTGAGATGTCAATTTTATATCATGTAACATCCCGTTTCTGTGCTGAATCATTTTTGAGAAATAGGTGAAGTAAAATTCGAGCTTTAGTAAGTATAACCATCTCTCCACTGATGACCCCTAGGTGGTTTTGCCAGGTGTTTTTGGCTACTTAATGTAACTAGGGCCACTTTTGTTGCAACGATCCTTACCTCTCACCGCGGCTACCTCCAGCTCTCTTCTTGTTAGCACTCTGGTCACCTTCCACAAGCTCTTTGTGGAATGAGTAGTTTAGTTAGTTACTTAGTTATTGGAGAGGGTAATTTCCCCATGCACTGAGACCTGTATTGGTCCATTGTGCTTCCCTCTATGATTTCTACCAGTCTCTATATCCTACCGGTACTGGTGCTTACCATCAGTCCCACCCAGCCAGCGAGACCGGCTCTACTAGCTGAGAGGTATCTATAATGCTTCCCCCATCCACCAGAGGTATTAGAGACTGCTGTTGGGCAGGAAACATCCGTTAATTTGGCTCAGTGACCTCCTTTGAAGATATGAGGTTTTTTTACGTGCCGTAAAGCTATGACACAGGACCCACGGCTTAAAGTCCCTCCCGGAGGACTTGTTCCCTGAATTCTTCCACCCTTAAAAATTTGACGACCTCCGCCGGGTATTTGAACCCGTGTACTACAAGTCATGAGGTGGGAACGTTACCTCTAGACTACGGAGGCCGCTAGTTCTACATGTTACTTCCATGACATCATCACACATCACACAACTGCATAACTTCAGTATGCAGAGTACATTACTTTGCCTTCCTCTATGAACCATTTTAAGAGATATGCACTAGAGAGAGACAAATATCTTTCATTGTTTGTCACAGTTTTTATGAGTCTTTTACTACATCCCCATTCATTTCAGTAATCATAAAGTTGTGGTAATCATACATATCTTGGTATATGTGTCTTGGTTGATGGGGATGCATGGGGTTAGGCATTGATCAATGGTTTGTGTAATGGATCATACTGAATGTTGTTTGGGGCAGTGCTTGTTACATGTTTACTTCTGGCTCTATTAGTATGCTTATCAGTATGATTTTGTGTGCCTTAACTCAAAACATGGTACTGTAGGCAATGATACTTGTATTTGAAACAGTATTGTTATTTTACTGCACTTTGTTTCCTGAAATCACCTCATATTTACTTCCATGGTCTTGTGAGTTTTTCAGTTTAAATCTGTTCATCTGAGAAGTTGCTGCACTAGGCCCTCCATGCACAACTGTTGCTGTTACACATTGTTCATAAGCTTGAAAGATAACATCCCTTGTTAAAAGTTTCATGAATATTTTGATCTTACTTCCTCCACAAGATCTGCGAATGGCATTTAGAATGACCAGGTCTGTAACATGGAAGAACAGTTTTTTGTCCACTTTCAGATCCCTGTCCTGTTACTATATTTTATGGTTGTCTCTTTTTATATGGGCTGTATTGGTGTTATCTTTAATAATGAAAGTGTATGGGTTTTCCAGTCATTTGATGAAATTGCCTTTGGCTGATGGACCAGAATACTAGTGAAGACATTTATGGCATCTTTGTTCGTGAGCATTTTGCTTTTTCATTCCCTCAGATTTAAGACACAGTAAACCCTTTTTTTTTCATAACATCATTGAACATATATGATACAGTTAATGAAAATTTGATTTATTGCATTATTTGATCTGTATTTTATTGCGTTTAATTAACTGAAGTTTGTCTGAATAATTTCAAAGTTTCTGTCTTCTCAGAGAACTGTGTTCAGATTTTCTGATTTAATATTTACACATGGATAGATGTTTAAGGTCTTTGCATTGTGGAAAAATGGTAATAAAACAATGCAGAGTGGATAAGTGTAATTTTAGTTTCAAGATACATAAAACATTTGATGATATGCCCTTTAGGTAACAAATCCAAATGTACAGTGGACAGAGTTTGTGTGCCATTGGCCTCTGTGGGCTCTGTATGTAGCCCACTTTGCCATGAACTGGTCCAACTACATCATCATGCAGTGGCTTCCTACTTACCTTGCCCGGAACCTTGGAGCCAACAAGGAGAGCATTAGTCTTACTGCCGTCCCTTATATTGTCAACTCCTTGGTTGGAATCTGTGAGTATCCTCTAGTCCACAAGAAAGACCATTAACCTTCCCTGAGTGGATTAAATTTCCTCCATAAAACTGATTGGCATAATTATTTAATATCCTTTAACCATTCTTGTGTGTTGGTATCACATGTTGCTAGTTGCCTTGTCAGCTACTTTTTAGGCTACAACCACAAATAACTAAACCAGTCTTTTTAAATAAAATGTAATAATTAATTGTTAAAAATTAATATTTCATTTGAAATACTGTTGAAGTATGAAGAAGAATTTTATTCTTCATTAATGATGTACATCCATCCCGTGAAGGTTAGTGAAGAAGTGAACTTTTGATTTAAGTTTATTTTTAATGGAACAAGAAAGATGATCAGAACCTATACTCAATTATAAAATACATTTATATTTAAATTGTAACTTAGCTGTATGTATTTAGGGTCACAACTATAAATAGAAATGGGCCTAAAATAAATTCACAGGTATACAGGATAATTTAAGAGGAAACATACTTGTATATTAAATTAGAGGACAGGTCTTAGTCAGAAGTCAAATTATATGCATCCTAAAATCACTCTTATTGACTTACATGGTTTAAATGTCTGTTGTTTTTCCCAGCTACATTGAAATGTATCATACACAATTCTATGTCCCTCACATATGTTTAGTGGAAAAAATATTAGTAAGGCAGGGCATCTACCAGTCAGTCACATGTGTTGTCATACCGCTGAAATCATTTTGTGATTGGGATTATTTCCCCTATTTCATCCTTCACCTCACATTAATTGTTATTTTCCTTTCCTAAATGGAACTTGTTTATGAGGAAAGTGATTACTGAAATATGAAACAGACATTTTCTTGCATAACATTTCTGATAGCAGTTAATGATGTTCTGTTATATCTCATGATTAAACTAAAGCATTCATAGTTATTTAAATCATGAACTCATGATTAGTTATGGTGACACTGCCACATTGAAAGAAAGGCATACAGTTCTGTGCAACACTAAACAGAGGCATTGTGAGCTGAACAACTTTGATTTTTGTCAGAATGTGAAGTGTGCAGATTTTATATTCTGGTTACATCTGACAGGCCTGTAAAATTCTGTTGTGATTTCATTAGTGTGTCAGTAAAGCTGTGGCAAAGTTCACCAGTTTTCGAGCAAAATAAGTTTTCAATTGATACATTGTGTGGTGTGTAAAAGTAGTGAGAGCCAAGCACAATGGCTCATGCCTGTCAGTCCTGAGGCTGACCATTCTGTCTGAATATTTACGGTATGATTTTTATACTAAGTGTAAGGCTAATATTTCAATGCTTATCTGTTGCATGCAGTTGCAGGCCATTTTGCAGACACTCTTGTTGGACAGCAGAGGTGGACAGTTCTGTCAGTACGTCGACTGATGACCAGCATTGGTCTCCTGGGTCCAGGAGTGTTCCTGCTTGCATTTTGTACTGTTGACAACCTCCTAGCTGCTGTTGTGTAAGTTTTACTTATCATCCATCATGTTATTTACAGTTTTTAACAAAAATATTTAATTTTTTGACCATTCTCTTGCAAAGACTATTGATCAGCCAGGTGATTCTGATTTTCTTGCATCGCTTTTACTGTTCTGTAATTATCTCTTCCTTCTTCCTCAATGACCCATTCTGTATGCTGAACACCTATCACATCATCCCCATGTTTATTATCTCATTGTTGTATTGGTTTGACTATTTCTGTCTACATACACTGCAGCAGGTCACTCATTTTCTCCACCTTCTAGATTTACTTATTTGTGTTTAAGGCCCACTACAGTTGTAAAGCCTGTCTAGCCTCTCCTTGGTGCTCTTTCATGGTTTCAGTGAAACTTCCAACTTGGGTGCCCTGTGGGGAAAGTCAAGTGGTGAAGGTTGAATGAACCCATGTCACAATCCCTACATATGAAGCCCAGCCCAGTTCATGTATTGCCCTGTTTGGACCCAGATGGTGTAAACACCATCTGACTGTTGATTTGGGTGTGCTGTTCTGATGTGTGCCCTGTATGAGACATATACGAGGTCTGACAGTAAAGTTCGCGAACTCGCCATCGTGTGCTTGCCATGTCAGGAGTGGACAGAAACTTCAATATTGTTTGATCACATTGGCATATTAGCATTTCACAGCTATGTTGATTATGGCAGTCTCTTTGTGAGTGATGTCTATTGTTGTATTAATGTGTTTTGTTGTACTGTCTCTAGAAAGTTGGAGCATGCATTAGAGTACTGTTTATGAGGGAGTTTTTAGCAAGTAAACAAATAACTGTGCTGGAACATTCACCCTATTCACTAGATCTAGTCCCAATGACTTTTTCTGTTCTTGAAGATAAACTGTTGAAAGGAAGGCATGTTGATGACACTGATGACATCAGGAGTAATATAATGGCAGCTCTGAAGGCCATTCAACAGAACCAGTTCCAAAATTATTGGACTAGGTGCTGGCATCACTTCCCAAGGGGAGTACTTTGAAGGAGACAACAGTGATATTAGCAATGAAATATGTAGCACTTAACACGAGTTCGCGAACTTTATTGTCAGACCACGTGTGGTGGTGCTCCAGGACCTACAAGTGCTTGATAAATCAAGTCACAACAAACCTATTGCAAACATCAGACCCTCAACAAGTACTGCTGAATCCAGTGGACCAGTAGAGATAGATGGCTTAAGAAGGAAGCAAACCTCTTCAGGTGAAAAGGAAGTAAAGAAGAGGGTGGGTCCACATACATCTGTGCAGGGGAAACTGTAATTCAAAGCTGAGACTAGGAACTGTTTCACTCTCTTGTGATCAGTAGACATGGATTGTTCAGAACTTGATGGAGGTGACAAACAGGATGAGTGACAGACCTCAGCCACTGCTGGTTGCATCTGGTAACCTGATGCAACTACAAAAGGACATCAAAGGCTTGGTGAAGGGCAGCTTTGAGTTCTGAATCACACATAATGGGACTCATATTGTCACCTGAGAAATGGTTGACCAATCTGCCATTCGAGCACATTTTGATGGCAGGAATATGAGTTATTAAACCTTCCACCCAAAATCTGAGAACCTTATCAAGGCTGTAATCAGACATCTTCCAATCACCACACCTGTGGAAGACATCTGCATCATATATTAACAGAACTAGGTTTGAGCATCATGAGCATCTGACAGTTGATGGCAAACCACCGTTCTTGGGAGGAGGATACTCCCACTTTACCTAGTGACACTACAGAAGAATACCAAATTAGCTGACATTTTTAAATCCACAACCTTATGCCACATAATCATTAACCATTAAACGCCGGGCTTTTGAAATAGTGGTAGCTTGAGCTGGCCGAAGTTTATTTAAATGCCTGTTCCTGTTAGGGCACTTGCACTATATTTGAAAACACTGTATCTTATACAGTTTTCATGATAAATGAATGGCATTAACTTTGTTTTTATCAGCAAAGAACACAGTGTCGCATATTATAGCATAAGATTTGAAAACAAGTAGACAAAAAGTTACAAACTACTTTCATCTTTTTTTCTTGTAATTATGATGCATACAGTAAAAATAATTTCCCACTTCTTCACATAGTAGTTCTGCATTATAAAATCACTTCTGCTTGTAACACTTGAAATATTTTCACATTCTCTGGTGCCAGAAACCAGCTGGAAGCAATAAAGTCATTTGGCTCTCTGCTGGCTAAGTTTCACATCCTTGTTACACTCTACAGATATTCCAGTCAATGCCAAGCCCTGCCATTGCAGCTGCAAGAGAATACCGCCCTTTCTATGGTTGCAAGAAAATGCTTGTATTGCAGCTGAGATACAGAGTGCATTCAGTTTTCTGTGAGGTCACAGTGAATTTGAATATTTTAGTTTCATTTTATGAAACCTTGTTTGGAAGATGGTGAAATTGATAGGCAGTGCAAGACATGTGGCATGGGACTATGCTCTCTCAGGTGCTTCAAGGAGCATTACACAAAGGCGAGATTCAGTTACATGATGCGGGGGTTGAAACCTATATATACGTCGAGCAGATAACAAAAATGTATGTATATTGAATTTTACTATATTTAACAATAAATATTTAGGATTGTGCATATGCTTCTACTAGTGGAAGGTGCACACGCTTCTGCTAGTGGAGTTTAATGCCCGACTGCCCAAACCGGGGTACTTCAGCCATGATGACCATACTCACCACTGCACCAATCAGGACACTTTGGACATTAAAGGTTAAGGTGGAAGCCTATAGGGCCCAAAATTGTTTAATGCAGTGTTTTAACTACAAAAAATTTAACCACATTTCGGAAAATTGCAGGCAACCCCCTTGAGTGGGGTGTGGAGGCAGCCACAAACATATGGAGTGCCCTGAAATCAATAAATGGGAGAACTCCATATCAAGGGGAGAGTACAGGTGCTCAGACCTTGGCCACAGCACAGCAGCTCTAGTTCACAGAGCATCCCACCTTGTGTCACTCTTTCAACCCAGACGGGTTGTTTCTGACAGTGCCACGCCTGTGCAAAGACTTGTCCATGTCAGTCAACAGTGTATTTTTTTGATACCCCATCAAAGACTGTGGACCTCTCCATGGCTCTTGCCACAAGGCATTATTCAAACGTAAGTCTGATCTTGGCCTCATTATAGTTCCAGGATAAAATTAACAAAAGATGGAACAATGTCTTAGCATGAGCCACTATTTGGTACATCTGTCTCACCAGCAGAACTTCATGACACTCCTAGATTTAGAAACGGGGAGAAACTAAAAATATCTCCAAATAAAGCACCTTAGTTTGTAAATGGTTATGGTGGTTCATGCAGAGATTCAATATGGACCTGCTGCAGTGTAATCTTAATGGTTCTTGCATGTGCTGACTGCAGGGTGCAACATAGCATTGTGCCCCAGCCACCATCTGTCTTAAGGAAACTCATGTCTTTCCCTCCCACCTCCATAGTTCTCCAGCCCACTATTAGGAACACCGTGATGGAGATAGGGCCAATGGAGGAACACATGTCTTAGTTAAGGACTGCATCCTCTTAGTCACAGTCACAGTCACAGTGACAGTGACAGTGACAGTCACAGTCACAGTCACGGTCGCTGTTGCTGTTGCTGTTGCTGTTGGAGAGGGTGGGTTTCCCCATGCACTTAGACCAGATATTGANTCTTAGTTAAGGACTGCATCCTCTTAGTCACAGTCACAGTCACAGTCACAGTCGCTGTTGCTGTTGGATAGACCAGATATTGATCCATTGTGCGTCCCCCTGTGATATTCTACCAGTCTCTATACCCTACTGGTACTGGTGCGTGCCATCAGTCCTGACTCAGCCAGCGAGTTCGGCCTCTACTGGCTCAGCGGTATCTCGATGCTTCTCCCATCTACCAGAGGGGTTAGAGACTACTGTTGGGCGGGAAATGTCCTGAATTTGGCTCAGAGATCCCCTTGGGACATGAGGTTCTTTTACGTGCTGTAAAGCTACGACACAGGACCCACGGCTTAAAGTCCCTCCCGGAGGACTTGTTCCCTTAATTTTTCCGCCCTTAAAAATTCCACGACCTGCGCCGGGTTTGAACCCGCGTACCTCAAGTCATGAGGTGGGAACGTTACCCCTAGACTACGGAGGCCGCTCTCTTAGTCACAGTTAACAACCTAACTCCATTTACAAGTCAACCCAGTCATTTTAAATAGATCAAATCTCCCACTATTAGGAAAATTTACTTATGCCAGGTGGTACCAGTACTTCCTGCTGAACTTTCTAGTCTCATATTTCATTTACCCACCCTGTTTATTCATCTTGGCAGTTTTAATGCAAAAATATTCTTGGACCATCAGTGCTTACTGGTGATAAAGGCAGAATAGTTTCCAATATAAATGCTGGGGTTTGCATCATGCTTTTAAACATAGCTGCACCTCTGCCATGAACCAGGAATAGCATCAGCCCTGGATCTTGCTTTCAGCAGTGCAGGGCTGGTTGTCCATCTTGGGTGGTCCATTATTTCCTGATTACCATGTAGCAACCATTACCCTTTAAATCTGCATATTTCTACAGCATCACCAATCATTCCCAGACATTCAAACTGGTTCATTAGCTGGGCCAAATGGGAGACTTTCTCCCAGTCAGTGACATTCAAATATTGTAAACTTCCAAAAGTCATCTTTATGGTGGAGTATTGTATGAGCACAGTGGTCTGAGAGGCTTTGTGTTTCATCCTCAGGTCATCCACCAGATGTTGCCCACCTGTGGATAGATGAATGTTGCAATGCCATTCTTGATTGTAGATGAGCCCTGAGGTTATTTCATTATCACCTCACACATAGTAACCCTAATTTCCTTCAGATACGTCTATATCAGGGCCAACATGCAGTACCTGAAGCCAAGAGCAAGTCATGGGAGGCTTTTCCTCACCTTTCTCGATCTTTTCACTCAGATGTTGTAGGAACAAACCATGATGGATGTAACATAAGTGCAGCTCCCCTTCCATGCCTGGCATACCTGTTGGTGGTGCCACCATTAAAAGTAAGTAAGAAAAGGTATCCCTGTAACAGGCCATGGAGGCCCACAGGGTTGTGAGATGTTGAGGTTCCCACATTTTCTAAGCAGTCGGCTCATAGATGGCGGTAAGATTGTCAGCCTTATGCGCTGGCTGCCCTTTACCCCCAAGAATATTCCAAGAATATTCCTGGTACTCATTTCTGTTAGAGGCTGAGTCAACCCCAGGGCCATAGTGCATCTGGAAGGATAAGGTAAATTGAAAAAATCCACCTCATCGGGATTCGATCCCGCAACCTTCCGGCTTGTAGCCTCAACCAACTACACTACCGTGTACTCCCGGTACTACCATTACATCACAAAAAGACATTGCCAACACAGTAGGATCTCATTTTACTTTTGTTTTTATCTGTGATAAGTACAATCCTTTTTATAAAGTTTTAAATTACGATGCAAAATTATTGTTTCAGAACTTCATAACCTGTCTCATAGTCATATAATTCACCATTTAGAAGCATTTAGATCACTGTCATACAACATCCTGAGGCCCTGATGGTATCCATTAACTGGGAAAGGGTCTTAGGGTACCATATCACCAAGTTGTATGATGTGGCTTCTCCAAGTGGAAGAAGACTGTGATAAGGTGTTAGTGTATGATTTGGATATAACAATCCAAGTTCACCAGATGGTCTGGATCTGTGATGTCACAATCCACAATAGGCCTTCATATGAAGATTCCTGCTTTCCATGATGTACACAGGTTGAGGGTTTGCATTTGCTCCCTGGTCTTGCAAACACAATTAGTGAGACTGGTTGAGAGGGAGTGGTCCTTACCAGGTTTCAGTATCGGGACAACCTTTGCTGCTCTTCCAGTAGCCAGGATAGACTTCTCTGACTGTATACAGTAGGAACTCCTTGTCCTTAGTTATAAGATAATGCTCTCTTGGTGGAAGACAAGACAGAATTTTACACAAAGAAACATGTTACATGTAGGACTGAAAACAGTTTACAGTAAACCTTTGCTAATCCGGATCAATTGGAGGGAGAGGCCGTCCATATTAAGCAATAATTTGGATGAATGAAGCAAAAGATAGCCCTAAATGACAAAAAACTTAGAAAACAAATAAATGGAAAATTTAATAATATAGGTTGTGCTGATGGAAATAAATAACTTATCACTGTAGAGCCTTTATTTAAAAGTTCTAAAAAGACAAGAAGCTTAAATCAGGGTCTCCTCCATCCAGCTGAAGCCAATCTTGCACGGTTTCAGTCTCTCCAGCTGCCCTCAACACAGTGCTCCTAAATCCCACGTGTCTTTTAAAGTATATACGCAATTGTGAACAGAATTCTTCATCAAGAAAGCAGTCTTTTGGGATATGGCGCCATGTAGATATTGTGTTAACTGATGTTTAGGAGGAAGGAAAAAGCAGAAAATACACAGGCAAAGAACCAGCATGAGCAGGTGCAAATAGACTAATGATGCTGGTTCAACGCTCACGGATTTCATCTACCCTGACGATGGAGGTGATACATTCCTCCAAAACGTCGGTTAGCACAATATCTACGCGGCACCATATCCCAGAAGACTGCTTTCTTCATAGTCACAGCCATGAAAACCTCAAATCTTACAGAATTGTTCATATTTAGATCTGGATTATCTGGCAGCTGGATAAATTGTAACCCAATTAGCAAGGGTTTTCTGTATATCAAACAGTGTGCCAGTTGTAAGACTTGCTTTTATTTGTGATCATTGAAACCTGATCAAATATAAATTGAACAAAAGGGTATTCCATTGAATTTATTTGGTAATATATTCAGATAATTGAAACTTGTCATGGGTTGGTTTTGGTCTGTTGTTGCAGATTTGTTTCAATTTTGATGGGTCTTTGTGCCTGTAACTCAGCTGGCCACCTAAGTAATCATGCAGACATTGCTCCCAACCATGCTGGCATCACATTTGCCATCTCAAATACACTAGTAAGTTATTATCATCATCATTTCTCTTGTGTTCGTTTACAGGAATTGTTGATTATTGAAGTGGCTGGTAACACTGTGCTCAAATGTGGATTGAGATTGCAGGGGGACAATGCAGATAGTTTTTGTAATTTTTCACAATTTCATAACATTTATTTTAGTTTCACATTGCAGAGGTATAACTCTTCATTAAAATCCCTTCTTTTTGTCACATTTTTATCCTGCTTCCAAACTGCCATAATACCTTAAAATTTTCAGATTACTTCTCTTAGGTAAAAATCATTTGATTAATGTACCCACAAATTGGCAGATTCCTCCTGAATCACCCTGTGTCCATGCTTGCATGTGCATGTTCTGTAACAGCGATTTTTTCCCAACCCGCCTTTGTAATATCAGCTCTGTCAGAATGGTACTATCCCTGCTACACCAGTTTCTACCTTAGGATGGTGTATGATGGCCCCTGCAAGTTGTCCATACAGATTGAACTAAGGAAGCGGCATAATGGGAGTTGATCCAGCTTGATATTGGTTCACTTATTGTTCTCCAAACCAAAAAACCAAAGAAAAAACTCTGTGACCTGTAGTCCGCAAGCAGACTATACTGACCGAGCGACTGCTACTTGTCGGCGAAGTTAGTGCCAACTTTTGTGGATAGAAGGTGTCACGTGGTCAGCACAATGAATCCCCATAGCCGTTAATCTCGGTGTTCTAGACCGGAGCCGCTATTTCCTTGAAGTAGCTCCTCAGTTATCCTCATGAGGCTGAGTGGACCCTGTTCCACACCCACTACTTCTCACAAAATTTGGTAGCGCCAGGAATCGAACCTGGGACCTCTGGATTTGTATGCAGGAACTCTGACCACTAGACTACAGAGGCAGTCTGGGTCACCATAAAACAAAAATAAAAAAATATACCTAACCATAGGTTGTTTTCCTTAGACAGCCAATAGCACACATATGAGTCGTCATCTTAGCTGCTTCTCTGTTACTGGTCATTTCCACACAACTCCAGGACACTATTCTGTAATGAGCAAAGTAAGCATGTCACATTCCTTTAGATTTTACACTCATTTCAAGATGTTGCTGGCTTGTGAACATTGATGGCCACTGAATATACACATTATGATATGTACCCCTTGCAAAGCAGTTTTATAATTATTTCAAATATGTTTTAACGGTTCACAACCTTCCACCATAATGGAATAAATGTTTCAGAAAAAATATAAATTTTAAATATGGTACAAGAATTGCCTTCTTAGTGTTGGGATCCATTGCCACTGTAGATGATTAAAATGTAATCAGTATTGGTCATGCAGTTTTGAAAAATAAGATCTAAAAGCTTGTGACAATGGCACATTAATACAGTTGTTAGCTAGTTCTTAACTCTGTCAGTTGGGCCCAACCAAGTGGTTTCCACCTGAAGAGAGACAGAATCCAGTCTCTGAAACGTTTTATGTTCCTTTAAATAAAAACAGGACAATGAATAATGTCCAGAAACGTAATAATTATAGTTTTCAAAAACATTAATATTTGGCATTTTGGCTTCAAATGTGCTTACTGTTATTTTCCTGAAGATACCACCTATACAGCTTTCTTAAGGAGATGATCTCAGTAATACAGTGAAATTTAATTCAGTTCATTAGACCTGTTTGTTGATGGGAAAACACCATTTTATTTTTTGGAGCTCATCTCAGGGGCCCTTATTTTTGGAGGTAGAATGTTCATATTCACCAAGCGCCAACCTATTGATAGAGAGACTATTTAGTACCAAATATAAATAAAGTCTGTCAAACCATTCAGGTGCTGGTGAGGCACATATCTGCCTGTCGACACATAAATACACAGACGGATGCACGCCCATGCACACACGCACAGAGCATTCCAGAAACCACTACATTATAGTGGTTCATATCCATCATCACTGCTTGTCTTTGTTTTTTATGGAGCCAATCAAAAGTTTTGGGGCTCTGATAACAATTATCCTCATGTAATGCATGACCTTTCTGTGGATATTTTGCCATCATTCCTTCTTCTACATTGTCAAAACCCCAAGATCATGGTCAGCACTATTGTTTAGACTGCTTGAGTACAGTTCTCTATGAGTAAAGTAAATCCTTTGAACATTATATGTTTTTGGAGATAAAATGCAGTTATATCTGTGTTAAAATTGACTTGTAATTATCTATTTATATTGAGTAATTCAGAGTAAAAGGAACTGATTGAAATAATTTTCTTCTGACCTTACTGTAAAATTGTGAATATACATTTCAACAATGGTGAGATTGAATTATTAAAGCCATGACTTAGTATTTACATTCATTGTGTTGATATTCGGATCAAGTCTGTACTAATAATAATTATGCAAGCCAGTGCTTGCACAAAATGTCTGTAGGCATTACCAGGCACACAAACAGAAGGGATGTGATCTTCTCTCTGACATGGCAATGGAATACAGCCAGACATGAGCATGTAGCCATGGACACCAATGTTAATGTTCCAGTTAGAAACGTTTCTTAAAGGAAATAATACTGTTGCAGTGTCAATGGATTTGTGGGAACATCCCACATTATCACGCATTTCAGGTCAGGTCAGGTCAGGTCAGATCATGTTACAACTGACGGTCAGTCAGTCTGTCGGTCTTGGTGTCGAGCCCCAGCAGGGGCTCATGACCAGATGTTTCTTTTCAATGAAAGTTACTGTCCTGTCTATGTGTAGCGCCCTCTCTGACGAGAGATCGGGTCTGTCATCTGTCAGTCAGTCTGTATTAAGTCTATTGTCTGTATTTACATACATTTACAAATACACACTTAATCCTTACTTCTGTGTACAATATATACACAGCCTCTGTCAGTCCAGGCTAGGTACAGCGGATTATGCCCTTTCATATATATACATATATATCCTAGTAGTATTTGCTACCACGGCAGTCTAGTCACTTGAACGGTCGTATGCCTGACCGCCGCCAAGTTTAAGCCTCTTATACTTTCTGTGTCGGGCTTCGCCTTGTCCGATGTTGCGAACATTCTCATTATCATGATTTTGTATGACTTCTGCTTGTTGCCTGCATAATTTTGTTATGTAATCATATACGTACGGGATTTTGAATGCCATGTGCAAATCGCGGACCGGTGTGCGCCTTGGAAAATTGCCAATCGTGCGGAGAACCTTGTTTTGCAGGCGCTGCAATTTCAATAGATGAGTGTCTGCCGCAAACTCCCAGGCGGGACTAGCATAAGTCATTACGGATCTAATAAGGGCTTTATGGAGGGTTAGTTTAATGTTAGCGCTCAATCGCTCATTTTTGAATAGGGAATACACTCTAATGAATGTTCTGAAGGCCTTGGCTTCGATCATTTCTATGTGTAATCTCCAAGTCACTCTCTTATCGAAGATTACACCTAGATATTTTGCACTATTTACAAATGGAATATTTCTTCCATTTAGAGTAAGACAAGACTCAGGCGGTCGACGACCACGAGAGAAGTAGACCCCCCGAGTCTTGTCTTCATTAATTTTTATATTCCAGCGCTCACACCAGGTCTCCATTGAGCTGAGACCGCGCTGGAGTTTTCTAACAATAAAACCCTCTTTGCGATCTGTCGCATACAGACAGGTGTCGTCTGCAAAGAGGGCCAGGTGAACGCCCTGTGTATGGGGGGCATCATTTATATACAAATTAAAGAGAGTAGGGGAAAGGACAGAACCTTGTGGCACCCCTGCTTGTATTTCCCTTGGCGTTGACATTTCGCCTTCAACAGAGACCCTGAATTTACGTTTAGAGAGAAAGGACCCAATAAGCTTGGTCAAAGAGTTGGGGAATTCCAATTTTGATAATTTAAACAGCAAGCCTGAGTGCCACGTGGTATCAAAGGCTTTTTCGATGTCCAAGAACACTGCAGCCGTAGACATTTTATTGTTGAAATTAAGGGTCACGTGATCCGCCAGCCTCATACATTGCAATGTCGTGCTGTGACGTGCACGAAAACCAAACTGACTTGCGTTGAGCAGGTCTCTTTCTTCAATATGTTTATGGAGGAATTTCAAAATTGCTTTTTCGAATAGTTTTCCTGTCGTGGACAGGAGGCTGATCGGACGTAAATTTTGAGGAAATTTCGGGTCTTTACCCGGTTTAGGTAAAGTTATTATTTTTGCTTCCTTCCAAGTATTTGGAAAGTGAGAGAGCCGAAAACAGTGATTGAATAAGTGAGTTAGGTGAACCAATGGTCTCCTTGGAAGGTGCCTGAGGCATTCATTTGGGATGCCGTCAATTCCACAGGCCTTTTTTAATTTCAGGGATTTTATTAATTTCTGAACGTCACATGGTCTGATCCTTAGAGGGGGGTTTTCATCCACGGCTTCCAGCAGAGCTTGAACTCTAGCCTCCACCCGCTGTTCATGGTTTTCGTCGCACAGGTCATGTGGCGTGAATTGAATTTCCAAACAGTCGGCAATTTCATTGGCTTTTTCAGAAGGATGAAATTTTAGGCCAGAAGAACCATGAATAGCAGTTGGTGCCCTTGGTCCGTCTCTCTTAAGGAGAGATTTCGCAATGGGCCATATACACTGAGGTGTGACTTCAGCGTTGCTTATTTTTGTTTCCCACCGTTCAAGTGCCTTTTTACGGGTCATTCGCCTGATTGATTTGGTGACCCAATTGACTGCCGTTTTACACGCTGGATCCCTGGTTTCTTGCCACAGTTTTCGTAGCCTCTGTTTATATTTTATCAAACGATCTAGACCAGGAAGATCGTTGTTTATGTCCGAAAGTGTAACTTTACTTGTCGACAGCCTATATGCCGAAGCAATAGAGGCTGCAAAGTCGCGTGCCGCTTTATCGGCTTCTACCCCCGAATTTATTTCTAGTTTAGGTGATATTAGTTCAGAAGCGAGGCTTTGAAACCGCTCCCAATCTGTAAATTTTTCAATGGGTTCCGAAAGGTTGCTAATTTTAACGTGATCCAGTATGTGAAATACTATTGGTAGGTGATCTGAATCCAAAATATCAGAGACGACGACCTCTGACATTCTGATATTTTTGTGAACCACAATGTCTAGCACGTCACCATTTCCCGCAGGGGAATAGTGAGTGGGGCACTGTGGAGCTGAGATTTCGAAATCGCCCATATCAAATAAATCCATAAGTTTCAAACCTGAGGGGTTTGAAACTCTACTATTCCAAAATGGGTTCTTAGCATTCAAATCACCTGCCAAAATAGACTTTCGTCTGAAGCTTAAGAGCTCAGTGATGTCAGCATCACTCCAGGCTTTGCCTGGAGATTTATAAACAGCTGCAAGCAGCACTTCGCTATTACCAATTGGTATGCAGACCCCTGTCGCTTCTACTGAAACAAGGGGTGGTAGGTCTACATGGTTGTGGGGAATGCCTTTTCTTACTGCAACGGCAGTTCCGCCATTTCTCCCGGACTGGCGGTCGATTCTATAAAAGTAGTAATTTGGAATAAAGAACCTCTCGTGAGGTTTCAGATGTGTCTCTGAAAACAGGGCCACATCTACGTGTAGGTCTTGCAGCTGTTTACTGAGCTCATAGCGCTGCCTCCCAATGCCATTCACATTAAATGCTATGACTTTGAGAGGCCTATGTACTCTAGTGGCCATTTTGTTTCATTAGGCTTAAAACAATTTTGGTAATGGCCATTATTTTTTCCTCTTCGGACACTGCACCACTGACCTCTGTCATAATCTGCTGTACTACAGTCACTACTCTCAACATATTGTCGAGAGATGGACTGTTTACATTAGAAGCCTGAACTGACTGACCTGTGTGTTGTTCCAGTACAGGAACCGGGACGGTCGGTTTCGTGGCTTTTTCACGCATTTCTGCAACGCTCGCTCTTCACATCAATTTTCACCATCACGCGCGCTAACCAATCAGATTGCTTCAAACGATCGCATTTATACTACGCTCGGCGCTAGCCCGCGTCTACACCATTACGCGCGCTAGCCAATCAATTCTTGCTCCTCACTTTCGAGTTTGGCTCCGCCCCACTGACCAGCGTATAAAAAAGGAGCGACTCCAAAGCCGAGTTATTCAGTTCATCATCAGCCTACGAGCTAGCAACATCAAGCAACTTCAGCCAGCAGGCTTCGTCGCCAGCGCTCGGTCTTCGGAGACATCGGCAGGCTGCGCCAGGCACGACTGCCTCGGCTCTCCAGCGCTCTCACACCCGACTCACTGGGGCACCGCGCCTGGACTCGCCGGTGGTCGTGTTATGGTCCGACCCACTGGCCTTCTGGCGTAGCCACTGCCTCATGGCTCCTACGACCGCGCTCAACGACTAGCCTTTCACCACCAGCAGCAACCTCCGCCATTTGCCGCGCTGCGATCAAGCAACTTCCAACTCGCGCTGCCGCACGGCAACCAAGCAACCTCCAGCCACGGCCTCACTGCGGCCAGGCCACTCGCCTTTCACTAGCCTTTCTCCTTATCGGCGCGCGCCGCGCTACCTCACCGGTCAATCATCTCAGCAGCCACGGTCCTTTTCAGGGCCAACAAACTGTTCCGAAGAAGTGGGTTGTCATAGGAGTAGCGACAAGACTACACACACATTGACAAGAGAGCCCCACAGATTGATCATCATCAGCATTTATTCTGGAAGAGCTCAAAGTGTGCTTCTACTGCACATATGAGTTTTGTATATAGTCTTAGTATTTTGACAGAAGTACTGATAGTAGTGAGAGTCTACCAAATTCATTTATGCTGAGGGGCATACAAACTTGATCAAAATTAGCCCCCACATGCCTATGAAGATGGCCATTGGGAGGCTGGGATGAAGCTAGGATACTGGAAATTGAAAGTAACAGCAGGTATAAGAAATACAAGGAATCAGCTCATATGACATGCATAACCAAACTGATCAGCCAACCCAGCCTGGACCCTCCTTAGCAGTGAGGTTAGCAACTCGCAGTGAAGATCAGTATGATTTAACAGATTCCTCTTGGGTTTCTGTAAGGTTTTAGTCCTGAGTGTTCAGAATGGTTTCACAACATTTTCAAACTAATTCTGTGCATTGGTTTTCATGAATTTGGTTTGTTGGCTAGGTTTGATGTATAAAATTTTCACCTACCTTTCTGTCTTATTCAGGTTTGTGCATGATTTATCACAATTTTTATTGTACATTTTTCCTGATATCTCCCTTTAAGAAAGCCTGGTCTCAGGTATTTATATACATATAGTATCAGGAAAAATTGTGATAACTCATGCACAGACCTGAGTAAGATAGAAAGATAGGTGAAAAATTATGCAACAAACCAAGTCCATGGAAACCAATGCATGGTATTAATTGGGAAATGTTATGAAAACATTCTGTGCATACCACTAGCTCCATCTGTGGAGTAAAAAGGACTAAAACCTTATAGAAACCCACAAAGAATCTGTCAGATCATACAGATCTTCCATATGAGTTTCTAACCTCACTGCTAAGTGGGGTCCAGATGGGAGAAATGTCCAAACTGGGTTGGCTGATTTTATTGGTTAAACATGTCATATAGGCTGATTCCTTATATTTCCTATACCTATACCAGAGTATGGGTGCCTCAAGGTTCTGACCTGTCCCATATTTTGTACAGCATGTATATAAATGATACCCCCTGAACACCTGGTGTTTACCTAGCCCTCTTTGCCAGTGACACGTGTCTGTATGCAACAAATGGAAAGGAGATTTTGGCAGAAAACTCCAGCATGGTCTCAGCTCAGTGGAGACCTGGTGTGAGCACTGGAATATTAAAGTCAATGAAGTTAAGACTCAGGGGATTTAGTTTTCTCAAACTTCTGTGCATAAATAATTATATAACAAAATTATGCAGGCAACAAGCAGAAGTCATACAGAATCATGAAAATGCAAATGTTCGCAACACTGGACATGGCGAACCCCGATGCAGGAAATATAAGAGGCTTAAACTTGGCGGTGGTCAAGCAGATGACCAGTCAAGTGAGTAGACTGCTGTTATAGCAGGAGCTACTAATGATAGGGAATGACCTGCTCTACTGAGCCTGGACTGACAGATGCCTTGTATATGTTTATATACATTTAATAACAAGTAAAATGTAAATTAAGTTAACATTCAAGTTTCAGTTCGATTTGTTTAGTATCTTGGGGCTGTTGCAAATAACCACCTAACCTAATAGGGTGTAAAACAATCTTTTGAACAGTTGATGCTCTTCAGTGTTGCACTGAATTCAGCTATCCAGATTGTCGAACTTTGTATCTTATATGTACATATTGTCAGATTTCAGTGAAGTGTTTGTGCTATATTTCAGGCAACAATCCCAGGTATACTGTGTGGCCCCCTTACAGCAGAGCTGGTGACTACATCTCATGGTCGCTGGTTTCCTGTTTTTGTGCTGGCAGCTGGCGTGAACTTCACTGGCGCTGTCATCTACTACAGTCAGAGTTCAGCTGCTCAAGTGCTATGAATTCTATCGGTTTAAACCTCAGAACATACACTAGTCATCTCTTGGCAATAATGTTAAACTGAACCAAATATCTATTTTAGTGAAACTAAATCATTATAAAATATTTGCCATCCAGTGACTTACATAGTTCTCCCATCCCACAACACTGGAATTGGATACAAGCTCATACCTTTGCTATATATTCTGATCACATGACACAAAATATTATCTTTGTCATACTTACACCAAAATTGAATATTTAATAGCATTATGTTCTTGGTGAGTTATGTAAATGAACAGTGTTACTGCTCTGAATAATATCTGTGAATATATTAGTTGAATGATTTTTGTGGAAGGTTGTATATTAAGTGCAGTAGAACTTGCTGTGCAACAAATGATATTGAAGGACTAGTCTAATAAAACTCTTTTCCCTTCATAAATAATCTGAGCATATAAAGCCCTATTACCCACATCATTATTCCCTTTCCAAGATTAATTTATTCTGGTTCCATAAATTTATATGCAGATTATAACGAAAATATTTGACACTGTGCTTAATGAAGTTCCAAAGGATTGTTATACTTCAGAGTTATGTATCCATTACTTGGAAATAATTTGCTGACCATCTCAGTTTTTGCTATGTATAATACATTTTGCCATTCCAGGAACAGATGACAAAATATCATCTCAGGCTAAAAACTGAAGAATGGCAATGTATGTGGGAAAACACATTTTGCTCTTGACTAATACAAGACTACAAAATATAGCAAAAACAGAGAGAACGAAACAGTGGTATACCGTCTAAAAATTCTTTGATGGTGCGCCATCCTCAGATGGATTGTTGCATCATCATCAGACAGTTGCTAGATTCTATTTTCAACATGCAGTTGGAACCAAAGTCCATCCTACTGGAGATCATGTTGAATATGCAGAACTTTTTTTTACAAAAGGCTAATTAATTCTGTCCAGTGTGACTAATGGTTTTTTTCTTTTTAATCTCATCCTTTACATGTTTCTGTCCTATAGACCATCTTCAGAAGGATATCAATACAATTAGAAACCACTATTACAATATGGTTTAACCTTCAACATCCGAAGTGCCCCGATCGGGCCAGTCATGAGTATGGTCGTCATGGCCAAAGTACCCCGATTTGGCCAATCAGGCATTTAAACTCTGCTAGTGGAAGTGCGCGCGCACACCACTAGTACAAGCACATGCATAGTCCTAAATGTTTATTTCTAAATATAGTAATTACCAGACAGACTTGAGTAAACCCTAATAGAGGAATTAAAATGATACCTAATTTAACAACATCAAAAAAGTATATGTATGAGTTATGCCCAAACTCATCCATGAGCCAGTACTTTTATTGCAGATTCTGCATATTAATGTGTTAAAAATATATAGTAACATTTGATGTACATATCTTTTTTGTTATCTGCTTGATCTATACGAGTATATAAGCTGAAATGAAACTACAGTATTCAATTTCACTACGAACGCACAGAAAACAGATTGCACTCTGTATCTCAGCCATGATACAGCTGTCTGCTCACACCCATAGAAAGGGCAATAATCTTTTGCAGCTATAACGGGAGGTCTTAGCACTGAAGAATGGACCCCTCTAGCTATTTCTTGAATAGCCATTCCTTCATTCTTCTGTCCTTTAATCAAAAGATTAAAAAATCTGAAGAGTGTAAGAAAGATGTGAAACTTTCTAACAGAAGACCAAATGATTTTATTGCTTCCATCTGTTTTATGACACCAGGGACTAAAGTTAATTCCATCCATTTATCATAAAAATTGTGTTAGATACGGCATTTTAAACACAATGCTTGAAATTGTTTAAGCACCCTAACAGCAATGGACATTTAAACTCCGGCCAGCTCAAGCTTACCACCATTTCAAAAGCCCAGTGTTTAAAGGTTAAAAATATTAATATGTACAAATCTAATGTTTTTTAACACCTACAGTTAAACACCAACACGTTAAAATATATATTACAGTTAGTATATTTAAAATGTTAAAATTTTAAACCAAATCTGCTTGTGTCCCTTCTATTTCCTCTCCCCGAAGGAAGCAAAGCATCGACTGCCATGCAGTGGTGCCATCGTTTCAAGACAACTCTAAAGAAATCTATTCTCCAAATGACATCTGTTAGCTATCTTTATGTCATGATTTTGCCCTGCATTCTGGTGACAAGACAGCAACATTTATCTTTTGTATTGACAAGTACAAATACAGACATGCTGCTACTCATGTTTAAACATACTTACTTACTTACTTACTTACTTACTTATGGAGCTGAGCCCTTCTTGAGGAGAAGCCAAATCTGCAGCTACTGAAGACTTTCCCAGAATTCTGTGGAACCTGGAGGTTCATTAACGTGTTCACAAGAGTCCTCCACTGGTTCCTATTCTGAGCTGTTTAATGTGTGTATGTTTAAACATACACAAAATGAAATCTATCCCTATTCAGGCCATGGAGGCCTGTAGAGTTGTGAGATGTCAAGGCTCCCACATTTTCTATAGTCGGCTCACAGGTGGTGGTTGTGATACTGTATCACTGCATCAATGACTGTAAAGTAAAGTGCACTGAGTTTCATTAGGAACGTAAAACTGTGTCCACATAACTCCGGGTTTTTGTGGTGCATAGGTTCAGTACATACAAACTACTTTCATTGTTTATTTCAGTTCAGCTGCTATTACTGTTACTACTGATATCACCTCTACTGAACCATTACTATTTCAGCTTTCAATCCATTTTCTCATTTTATATTTCAGCTTCCAGCTAACCTTGGCAGGGAAGTCCCCACCCCAACTTTGGTCTCCCACTTACATTTAGTTTAAAATAAATACTTACCAGTGGTTTTTACTCTAGCTTTGTTACATTTGTGCAGCTGATTATATTCTTGCTTACTACATCCTCATTTATATCAAACTATTTGCTGCATACAAATTCTTATCTCCACTTTTTCATTTTGGGGCACTTTAGCAGTATGTGCTTTTCACACTCGTCCACCAAACACAAGTGGCACCTTCCTCTCTTAGATCCACTCCTGATCCCTGCCCCTGATCCAGAGCCCTGCTTTCAGCCATATTATTGTTCCCATTCTGTCCTCTTCTGCGAATGAATTCCTTTATCCCACTCTTATTTAATTTTGCAGTAAAATGTCAAGGAAATCTTTTTGCTTGTGTTTGAATGTATGTTCTGTCTTTCTATATCATTACACCTTTGTCTGATTATTTTACATATTGCATTAGCCTTTAAACGCTGGACTTCTGAAATGGTGGTTAGCTTGAGCTGGCTGGAATTTATTTAAATGCCCACTGCTGGTGCACATTTAAATGCCCATTGCTACTCTGCGTTTAAATGTCCATTCCTATTAGGGCGCTTAAACAATTTTAAGCATTGTGTTTAAAAATGCCGTATCTAACTCAATTTTTATGATAAATGGATGGAATTAACTTTGTTTATATCAGCAAAGAACATAGTGTTGTATATTATAACNAATTAATTTATAATGCAGAACAACTCTGTGAAGAACGGGAAACCACTTTTGCAGTACGCATCAAAATTAAAAGGGGGGGGGGAAATTGAAAATAGAATATAACTGTTTGAATAAAAATTTTCAAATGTTCCGTTATAAGATTTGAGGCTTTCACGGCGGTGACTATGAAGAAAGCAGTCTTCTGGGATTTGGCACCGTGTATATGTGGTGTTAACCGACGTTTCGGAGGAACGTCGGTTAACACCACATATACACGGTGCCAAATCCCAGAAGACTGCTTTCTTCATAGTCACCGCCGTGAAAGCCTCAAATCTTATAACGGAACATTTGAAAATTTTTATTCAAACAGTTATATTCTATTTTCAATTTCCCCCCCCCCTTTTAATTTTGATGCGTACTGCAAAAGTGGTTTCCCGTTCTTCACAGAGTTGTTCTGCATTATAAATTAATTTATGTTTGTAATGCATGACAAATCTGAGCAGTCCCTGGTGTCATAAAACAGATGGAAGCAATAAAATCATTTGGTCTTCTGCTAGTACTACTTACACTCTTTGGATTTTCAACTCTTTTGACTAAAGGACAGATGAATGAAAGAATGGCTATTCAAAAAAAGCTAGAGGGGTCCCTTCTTCAGTGCTAAGACCTTCAGTTATAGCTGCAAGAGATTATTGCCCTTTCTAGGGTTGTGAACAGACAGAGTGCGATCTGTTTTCTGTTCATTCATAGTGAAATCGATTACTGTAGTCTCATTTCAGCCTATATATATACATCAAGCAGATAACAACAAAAAAGGTATGTACATCGAATTTTACTATATATTGTTAACACATTAATCTGCAGAATCTGCAATAAAATTACTGGCTCGTGGAAGAGTTTGGGCATAACTCATACGTATATTTTTATTTGATGTTGTTTACTTAGGTATCATTTTAATTCCTCTATTATGGTTTTACTCAAGTCTGTCTGGTAATTACTACATTTAAAAATAAATATTTAGGACTGTGCATGCACTTCTACTAGCGTCGTGTGTGCGTGTTTCCATTAGTGGAGTTTAAATGTCCTACTGGCCAAAACGGGGTACTTTGGCCATGACGACCATACTCATCACTGGCCTGATTGGGGCACTTCGGCCATTAAAGGTTAATCTCTGTCTGGATTTGCCAAATTAATGTGAAACCTCTTATTTCCAATTCCTTCATTAATTCCTTGGCCAAGCCTTCTACCTTTAGGTTATTTATCTTCCATTCAAAACATTTTCATACTGTTTCCAGAAAGTCTGAGCATAATAGACATGACCAATATATTGCACTCATGCTCAGATATTTTCCCCTCCTACTATACCTCCTTAATTCCAGTTCAGTCATGTTGTTTGGTGCAAATCTCCACACTCCTGGTATTATTTTACAAAATCTACAGTGAAGTTTGTCAATTTCTTTCCATCCTCTATTGAAGCTCCACATCTCTGTGCCATACATTGTCTCAAATTCACTTAGCATTTCATATCATCATCATCATCAGTAATCTGTCAAGACGACAGGTCCACAGTCTCTTTCAAAACAATTCCTCCACTTAATGCGATCTAGAGCTTTCTCCTTCAAATGACAGTATCCTCTTCTGTCCCCAAGGTCATCCAGCATCTTCTTACGTCTTCTTCCTCGTCTTCTTGTCACTTCTATCCGCCCATCTATCTTTCCTTCGATAGCTTCTTTTAGAAGGCAGTTTCTGCGTAAAACATGACCAATCCAATTAGCCTTCCGTTTTCTTATTTCATGTAGGATATTCCTCTGCTCACTGACTCTAATTAACACTTCTTCATTTCTCACATAATCGGTCCAACTGATCTTCTCCATTCTTCTCCAACACCACATTTCGAAACTTTCCAGA